TAATGGGGGACCCCAGGGCAGCAGCCAGAGGGAAGGGGGGGGTCCTGGGAAGAGGCCACAGGGAACATGGGGGTCCCAGGCAGGAACCTGTGGGAAATGGGGGGGGCGCCTCGGCAGTGCCCTGAAGGTAATGGGGGACCCCGAGGTAGCACCCACAGTGAATGGGGGTGGCCAGGGCAGCACCCCACAGGTAATGGGGGGGGTCTGGGGAGAGGGTCAAGAAGAAGGACCCCCCCCCAGACCCAGCACGGCTCCTTACTGCTTTGTGCCTGGTGTAGGTGGTCCCCGTTGGGGCTGGGGGTGATGTTGCACCCCCCCAGCTTGGGGGGGGCACTGGTGCCCATCGATTGCTGCCTCGAGCTGGGATCTCCTTGCACATCCTCCAGTTCTCCCCTAAATAACGTCACGGAGGAGGCCGGGTATCCCCCCCAAATAACTTGGGGGGGCTCTGAAGCCTCCCCAGGTGGACATTCAACATTCCCTAAGGGGATGGGGCTTCACCAGCCTTGCCCAGCCGTGGGGCGACACACGGACCGATGCTCTTCCCGTGACCACATCACACAAGAGAAGAGCCATGAGAGCGTGTCGTCCCCACGTAAGGACCTTCTGCCCCCCAAATTTCAATAGCTGCCCCCTCTTTCCACGGGTCCTCTGCCTGCAGTTCCCCCAGGCACCCAACACACGTCTCCTTTAAGAGTATCTGGACCAAGAAGCCATCAGCAAGAACACCAGGGACAAACCCTCCCCACACCATGATAAGAAAAGCGGCGATAAGAGCAAACCTCGTTACTGGCGCTAACGGGCAAGGCCATTTGGAGCATGAGAAGGAGGATAAGGCAAGGGAGGGAGAGGAGCATGCGGAGACCTAAACACTGCCCAATTAGCATTAACGAAGACAATAACCAGAAAAGGGTTGCTGGTCGCACTAATGAGTGGTCTTCCACCTACCAGTAGAACTCTGAAGTTCTACCAAGAGCTTTGCAGCTGGTAAGGATGCAACGCTGGAGGGGGGACTGTGTGTACAGAGGAGGGGAACGGGGGCAGGGAGGAGGAAAGGGGGGGCCAGGCCAAAAAAAGGGTGTAAAAGGGGCTGGTGGCAAGGTACAAGGGGGTTGGTCTACGCATCAGTCATCACAGTTGGTCCTGTCTTTGTTATTCAGTCTCTTTCTTAACTATTTCTGGACCCAGTGTTAGCTACTGGCAGGACTGGTGTGAGCGGGATTGGGGTCATCTACAGGAGTCAGACCGGGGGTGTCAGCACCCCTGCTCTGCTACTGGAGCAAGCTGGGATCCCAGTACAGCTACTGGAGTGAGTGGAAGTCTTGCTAGAAGGGCTCCAGCAGCTGGGCAGCACCACAGCGGGTGGTACTGGTGTGGGCTGGAGCTGCTGGAGGAGGTGGCTGCACTTAATATCCCTTAACAGACATCAGATGACCCCCTTTGGTGTCCCAACAGGTAACGGGACAGACAGTGAGAAGAAGAAGTTGTTTTCCCAGCCCATGGAAGAGCACAGGGTGATGCTGGAAGGACCCAGAGAGGAGCCGCAGAGCCCCAAGGTGGACATGGACCACGATGTTCAGCATCAGCCAGATGATAAGGAAGGTAGCCAAGTACCAAGAAGACCCCGAAAATGCTCTTTCAAAGGGACGTATGCTGAAGACCTTCAAGAAGACGCAAGCCAACCAAGGAGTAGCTCCACACAGAAGGTGTACAAGTGTGGGGAGTGCAAGAAGATCTTCACCTGGGGGAGCAGCCTGACCCGTCACCGACGGATCCACACGGGAGAGAAGCCCTTCAAGTGCCTGGATTGTGGGAAGAGCTTCACGCAGAGCGTGGTCCTCCTGCGTCACTGGAGGACACACACCAGGGAGAAGCCCTTTCTCTGCACCACGTGCGGGAAACGCTTCTCCTGGCGCTCGGACCTCACTACCCACCAACGCATCCACACCGGAGAGAGACCGTACCCCTGCTCGCACTGCGAGAAGACCTTCCGGAAGAGGTCTCACCTCATAAGGCATGAGCAAGTCCTCCACAATGGTGAGTCCTTGGAGGGGGGTTAGTGTGAGATGTCCCATGCCCTGGTGGACCATCCTGTGGGTGGGGATGGTCTGGAGAAGCATGTGGTGGGGCCGTGTTGGGATTCCTGCTCCTAGCGTGGCAGCAGTGATGGGGTGGGAGATGTTCCTGGGGATGGGTTTGCTCTGTCCCCAGGTTGAGTTGAACTATCGGTGGGAATAGTCCTGCTCTGAGCAGGAGGTTTGGGTGGAGACCTCCAACTAACGGAGCTGCACTGGAATAAACTCCTCCATGCAGGGGGGTTCATGAGTCAGTCTTGGTGATAGCAAGTGGTCTCCAATAACATTTCCCATGGTCATTTTTGGACAGGTTCATTTGTGGCCTCTCTTCACCCATCCTCCACCACTGCAACCCACTGCCCCCATGTCTTCCCAGCTTGTGTTACCCCAGCAGGTACTTGGGTTTCTCCTCCATCCCTGGTTGCGGAGGTCCTGTTGGTGCAATAGCTTTGTCTTTCTCGAGCAGGCACCGAGAGCTCCCAGCTGAAGCCAGGACAACCACCCCAGGTGCTGAGGGAGAAATTGGAGACCAAGAAGGAGCAGACACTGATGAGACAAGGGGGGGGCATGAAGAACACCCGTGCAGCCACCAGCAAGCCGGTGACCCATGCTAAGCCGAAGACCCATATATGCCCAGAATGTGGGAAGACCTTCTGCTGGAGAAACAGCCTGAGACGCCACCAAAGAAATCACACGGGAGAACGACCCTACAAGTGCCCAGATTGCGGGAAGACTTTCAATGACTTCTCCAACCTTGTCACCCACCACAGGATCCATAAGGGAGAGAGACCGTACGAATGCCCCGAGTGTGGGGAGTGCTTCACCCAGAACTCGAGCCTTTCCAGACATCGGAGGACCCACACTGGTGAAAAACCTTTTTCCTGCTCTGATTGTGAGAAATCCTTTACTCAGAAGCAAAAACTTATCTTGCACCAGCGGATCCACACTGGGGAGATGCCGTACAGCTGCCAGCAATGCCAGAAAACCTTTCGGACCAGCTCCCACCTCGCCACACACCAGCAGAACCACACGCAGGAGAGCTCCTATGCATGTGTGGTCTGCGGGAAGTCATTCAGCGTGGGCACCGAGTGTCTTCTCCATCAGAGGACCCACTTGGAGGAGGTGCCGGTGGGCCAGGGAGCTTCTCCGGGGGGGACATGCCATGAAATTAGGGGGTTGTTGCCTCCGTAGGCAGGGACTTCCACCCGTTTGGTCTCATCCCATGAGCCTCGTGATCTCGAAGGGGCAAATTCAGAGATAGCTGGGGGTGCTAATGCCCCACCAAGGTTTTTTTCTGGGGGGGATAAGTGGTTGTGTGAGCCCTGCTGCTTTTAAACGTGAGTGCCTGCACGCAGATGAAAAGAAGGAGGAGATTTACCAGCAGGTGCCTTGGGTGCACAGACAACACAGCTCTTCCTTCACCCCAGCACGTGGGACCATCACATCCAAGAGCCCCAGCATCTCTATGGGGACTTGTGGGTCCAGGGAAAGGCGATGTAGAAGAAACGTTGCCTTCCTGGCAAAACCAAGGTGCTCCCCTGAGTCCAAAGGGATTATATAGTCTCGTTAGCCAGCGGGGTCGTTAACAAGACCCAAGGTTGAACAAACCGCTGGATAGCCTTGGTACAACGTTTTGGTGGGATGTTGGTTGGCATCTCATGTTACAAGCTGTGACCATCGTGTTGTATTTTATTTGGTTTCCTGTTAATGTGTTTATCTCTCCCTGTTCATCACTTCCTTCGTTGAAAGCCCGTACCGTTAGTTATTACCTGATTACAAACTCTCCAGATGAACTTCCATGATGGTGCTCACCAAGGCTGAGGCTTTCATGCTTCCTGGTGGGATACAGGGATACTGGACCGTGATGGCAGAGGGATGAGCTGCTCTCACCGATGGCTCTGGGAGTATCTTACCATGAGGAAGGAGGTGGTGCCCATGGGGGAAACCATGGCAAAAAGTCTTGGGTGGTGGAATACCTCTTCTTTTTTTGAAGTTTGTATCAACTATTGTGGATTTTGCTCATAGTGTCTTTCAAATTGTGTCCTGTTCATTTAACAGTGAATACATTTGGGAGAGGCACAAGAGATCTGGAGGGGGCACACAGCCAGGCAGATGACCCGACCCAACCAAAGCAATAGTTCTGGCCATATCATGTCGTGCTCAGCAATAAAATGGAGAGGAGGGAGTTTGGGGGAGGGGGTTGGCCAGATTTTGGTCAGGAACTGGCTGGGAGGTGGCGAGCGATGGCCTTTCCATTATACCTCTTCCTTCTCCTCCTTCTCCTTCTTCTCCTCCTTCTCTCTTCTTCT